TTTCTTTCTTTCTTTCTTTCTTTCTTTCTTTCTTTCTTTCTTTCTTTTCCTTCTTTCCTTCCTTCCTTCCTTCCTCTCTTCCTCTCTTTATCTCTCTCTCTTTCAAAAGTGGTGACCTCTTGATGAGTGTTATGTAGTATGTTTGTAACTCTCTGAGAGCATGTATGTGATGGTAGAGGAAAAACATTCTGGTGCATTTCTTTTGAAGAGTGCATTGTGAGGAAAGGATTCTTGGAATGCAGTCCTGGTTACAGAATGGAGACAAAAAGAAATTTTAAAAAAAATGAAATGATTGGTTTCATGTCTCATCACCAGACGAATGAATGAATGAATGAATGAATGAATGAATGAATGAATGAATGAATGAATAAAGGACATGGTTGCTCCTAGGTATGGAGGGGAAAGTTTGTTGTAGATAAAAGAAAGAGCATAGGCAGAGGCAGGGACATCTTAGCCCAGAGTGGACATGTCCAGACTAAGCTAGGCCATGTGAGGAAAAGGGGAAAGGTAAAGAGGAGAGGAGGCACCAACCAAGAGGTGTGATCTAGGCCAAGAGTGTGACCAAGAGTGTAAAGCATAGGCCAGAAGGCCAATAACCAAAATGGTGGGTTTATAAAGGAAAAGGCAGTTGGGTGACAGGGAAGCTAAGCCCAATCCCTGGGCTGGGGAGTTTTAAGGTAGGGACAGGATATACCAGCCAGAAGGGCCCTGTGACAGGTAGACTGAGGAATGCAAGAAGAACATGGCTGGAGGCATCCATTTTGATATATTAAATAGCCATCTCAACCATTGTTACCTAGTTTGAGATTTAACAGTCCCAAAGGAGAGATACAGAATGAAGTGTTTATATGTTTTTTAGATCCATCACATGGGTGACCTCCTGTGTAATATGTGCCTAATTTTGCTTCTGGATAAACTAAATGGAGATGAGGATAAGGGTGATGATGATGTGATGGTAATGATGAGGATGAGGGTTATAATAAAAATGATAGTATTGGTGTTACTGATAATGATGGTGACATAAACTGATGACATGACCCCTTCATGGTATGGTAAAGGGGAAGGTTTTTATTGTGGATATAGGGAAGAGTTCAGAGAAGGAAGTAAAATAGTAGAAGGAACAATCCCAGCAGACTGGATCTTACCATGAGAGAAGCAGGAACAGATCAGAGAGGAAAAATAAAGGAAGGCAGCAAAAGAGAAAGATGAAGTGAGCCTAGGCAAAACAGATAAAAAACGAGGGACAAACAAGAAGGCATAGCTGAAAGAGCAGGGTTATAAGAAGAATGATCAGCTAGATGTTTAGGGTAGCAAAGGAGGCAAGAAGAGCTGAGAAGACAGAATGCCCATATGGATTTTGAAATGTGATACAATTACTTGTGATACTGAAGGAGTTTAGAGGCCAACATGTGATTTGGCGTGTTAATAAGTATCACAGATAGACTTTCGTCCCTTCTGCCAGTGATGAGGGGAATGGCTCTTTGGGGAAGAAGAGAACTGGTTTTACAAGGTCTGAGAAATGCTGGCTTTCATCTGATTGCCAGAATTCTGGAAAATCGAGTTTCTCCTGGACCTGACAATACTTATGATGATTATGATGATGGTGAGGAGCATGATGATGGTGATTTTTGTGGAGGTATGCTAGAGATAAAGCAAGGACCTCCCAGTAGTTAGACAAGACTTCTGCTATTGAGGCACCCCCCCCCCCGCAATAAATGTGATTTTTATGAGAACCTCCCATTCTTCATTTTCTACATTCTGGAGAATAAAACATTAAACACAACGTGAATATGGCAGTGGGAAATCAGGCAACCTCCCCTGTGGAGAAAGGATTTGAGCTTTGTAAATTCTCTGTCAATTTGGCATCTGTTTTTCAAAATTTTCAGACATTTGTGTCTCCCCTTCCTCTTCTGGCTGTCAGTTGGAAGGCTGAAAAACATTTTCTTCCTTTACCATTTACTTAAGCTTTCAGTGAGAGTTCAGCACAGGAAGAAAACCCTCAGAAAATATTAATGCCATATTTCCTTCAGAGTATAAGATTCTTTAAGGTTATGTACTTCCTGTTAAATCATATGACGTTTCCATGGCTGAGTTAACGCTCTGTCAGGCCCTTCAACCCTTGTAAACCATAGGTAAGACATTTATTTCAACAACACGCTTGAAGACAGCCAATAAAAATAGACTTCGGTCAAGTTGACAGTCATTCTTCAGAAAAGCCTTTTAAAGGGACCACATATTTTCTCCATTTCTTCTCTTTGAAAGATGAATTAGAGCCGACTCAGCTGTGCAGTCTTAAGTGGTGTTTTCTCCTCATCCTTGAGACTCTTCTTTTAAAACTTTATACAGGGAAAATAGTTTGTCTTCAAAAATAAACCTGTAGGCTTTTCATGAATTAACCAAAATGTTAATATCTGGTATAGGTGATTTCCATAATTGGTTAGCTACTTAGCATGGAAGTTAAACTTTCTATCAAACTGCCAGTTGGCTTTCTTTTGATCATGTATGCTCACATTTCCAGGGATGAAGAACCAGGAGGCCAGATGGTGACAGATAAGTTCCACATTGACTGGGATTCAGTTCTTATCGACACTGATAATGTCATTGTAGCAAGATTTGATGGCAGAGGAAGTGGATTTCAGGGCCTGAAAGTTTTGCAGGAGATTCACAGAAGGATAGGCTCTGTAGAAGCAAAGGACCAAGTAGCAGCTGTAAAGTAAGTCAGTTCATATCTTCCTGTTGGTCTATATTATTGCAAAATTTATGTATTGGGGCACATTACTTTCTCAGAAATGTCACAGATAAATGTAGCTCTACCAATTTTCTGACTTTAACGTGTAGCTTTCCTGCATTTTTTTCAAGCATCTATAACCCTTAGTGCTATCATATAAGAATAGTCATATTTATTCTCTGCAATTAGAATTTACGTTGAGTGAAAATATGAGAATCAGTTTACTAGTATATCACTTATTGACAAAAATCTCTAGTGTGTCCATAATTAATTATATATTTTTAATTATTACTACATTTTTGGAGAAAAATTTATACTGTGTGCTTGTGTGTGTGCATGTGTATGTGTGTGTGTAGGTGAGTATATGCTGTTTCACACATGTAGAAGTGAGAATCCAACTGGAAGGAGTTAATTCTCTCCTTCAACCATGCAGACTGTACGCAGATCACCAGACTTGGTAGCTAAGTCTTGGCAGCTTTACCTGCTAAGCCATCTCATCAACCATTATTTCTAATTCTTTGACATCTCAAGATTACAATTGCCATGATGGAATGAAAGGTAGCATGGGGACGTTCATTATTTTGTGGTGTAGAGAGATCATCCAGGCATGGTGTAAGGAGGCCTACCCACCAGGCCAGGGGTACACCTGGAGAGTCTACATCTACAACAAGCTCACAGTTGATGACAAACTCCTGAACTGTGGGCTCTTCAGGCCTTCCATGTAAGGAAAGCCTATGTACTGAAGTATTTCTACTTGTATGTGTGTGTGAGGTCATATACATATATGCACATACTCACACGCTATCATCAAATGTGGGATCAGAAGACAATCCCAGGTGTCCATTCTCACTTTTCACCCTAAGACAGGGACTCGTGATGTTCACCCCTTTCTACATCAGTCTACCTTTCCCATGAGCTTCTGGAACACTCCTGTCTCTACCGCCCATCCCGCTGAAGGTATTCTGCAATTACAGGCACATACTAACTTACCTGGTTTTATGAAAGTTCTAGGGACTTGAACTCATATCCTCACACCTGTGCCCACTTCAGCCCTTCAGTAAAGCACTTCTAAAAATGTTAGGAAATGTTTGAATGAGTTTGTTTATATCTGTCTGGGCATCATAAATTCAGATATGCAACTGACTCAAGAAGATATAACTACATATTTATGTATTTTTGTTCTTTCAGATATTTACTGAAGCAGCCATATATTGATCCCAAAAGATTAAGCATTTTTGGAAAGGTAAATAGAAATACTGAAGATATTTATGCACGCATACCTATATGTATACCATATATATGCATATGATTCCATTGTTCATTGCACTTCAATTTTCTATATTACCCTTTAAAAGAGCATAATCCATATTGTGTCAATTCAGTCACTCATTTGGATGGCTATTTCTCAAGTGCATAGTTGATGTGTGGTATTAGAAATGATCAGTAAGAGGGAGAAAGACATAGGGCGAAGGGCTTGGGAGCATGACTCACTAGGGAAAGTACTTGCTGCACAAGGAGGAGAACCTGAGTTTGTTTCTGAGGTCCCATATAAAAGCTGAGTGTTGTGGCCTGCGCCCCCTAATCTCTGTGCTTGTAGGTGATAGGAACCTTCTTGATCAGTGCAGTCCAAGTTCAGTGAGAATCTCTGTGGTGGAGAGCAGAGGACAACACTGACCCTTGACTTCTAGGTAAACACACACACACGTATACAGAAACACAGACACATACAGAGAGAGAGAGACAGAGACAGACAGAGTCAGAGACACAGACACAAATACACATACTGAGAGAGACAGACAGGCAGACACACATACACACACAGTTGCATTACTGTTTAAATGTAACAACTACACGAAATTATAAAGATTGTTCTATTTCATTCATTCTCTTCTCCTTTTTTCCTTTTTTGTTTGGTTTGTCCTTTGGGAGATGGTCTCACTGTGTAGCCTTTGTAAGCCTCTAAGTCGTGATCCTCTGCTTCTGCTGAGTATTCTGTCAAACACTGGTATCCTTGCAGGTGCTCCTTACCCCACCCAGTCGGGCCTCTTTCTTTCTGAGTCTGTGCTTTGGAAAGCGTTCTTCCCATTTCCTGCAGCTTGTAAAGCATGTTAGTGGGGGGCAGGAGGCTGTCCGAGGAAGCCTTCAGCAGCCCTCCTCACTCAGCACAGGCCTGTCCTCCTCTGGCTGTGCTACTCTACTCTGAAGGCAGAGGACAGGCAGCTCCTCTTTGAAATTCTTGCTTCCTCCCTCTTGTGTAATTCTCCTTCTCTTTTTGTTTTTTTTTTCACAGTGAACCATGAGAAAAGCTTCCTTGCTCTTTTTTTCTATTTTCTTTTGTTTGCTATTTCACCAGTTTCTGCATTTGTCATTATTTTCTACTTTCAAAAATGTATTTTCCTCTGTAGTTGCAAGTTAAATATCTTAAGATTTAAGTTATTTTTTTTTCCAATTTTGGCAGTCTGTTTTTAAGATGAAAGCATTTGTGACACAGCACCCCATGAGTTACTTACCTAGCTAGAGTCACTTCAACTAGCATTGTTGTTAAAATTTAGCCTGACTATGTCTTATAGCTGAACATTTGTTTCCTCTGAACTGCTCTTATTTTGATTATTTTTATTATTTTATAGGAAAACAGTGTTGACATTTTTCTGTTTTTACCCATAATTGTAATGGAGTCGTGGTCAGTTCATTGACTGAATTACTGAAGTCACATTAAGTATCAGTTGATTTGTAATTCAGGAAGAAATTACTTTGAAATATTACATGTGCCTAGAAATGTTAGTATCAAACACATTCCATTTACTTAGATGTGCCCATCATGGATTCTCTAGTTATAAACTTCTTTAGTGATTTATTTAATTCCTAGTGCCCGAAAGGTATGTTAGATATCCCACTCCATGAGTCAACTATTCAGTTTCCTCTTCCTAGAGCAGTTTCCACAGTCCGCTTTTCAAGCTCATGCAAGTTCAGAGTGAATCTATCTTCTGGTGAATTATAGCTTTTTTGTTGTTGTTGAGATTCTATTGATCTTTATGGATGATGAATATTTTGTATATATTATGATGCAATGTTGATGATGTGACTCAGTGACAATTTACATCACTGCAGCAGCATGGATGAGGCTCTGGGTGGAATACTCAACACACACACACACACACACACACACACACACACACACACACTCACAAAACCACAACAGAGCAAAAGAAACCTTCACCTTTCTCACTCTTTCTGTGGTGCTCTGTACTGAACCTAAGCCCTTGCACACACTAGGAAGCGTTCTACTGTGGAACCTTTGGGTGTACCTTCGATTGCTGTTTGCCTATTAAAAGTCCTAACGATGTACACATTTCAACCTGTTCCTTCATGACATGCATCTTTTCAAACAAAACTCAGAGATGAGTAAGTCTTCTCTCTCTGGTGACTTCTGTGTTTCAAGTCATGATGATCTACATACCTTATTTATTATATTTATTATATATGTGTTATCAGATTATTTTTAATCAGTTTTCCTTCTTTATTCCTTTTTTTCTGAATTAGCTAGGTTGTTTTTCTCTTTTTCTCATCTTTGTAAATCCATTTTTTGTTGTTTCTTTGGTATCACTGTGTAGCCTTGGTATCTCATCTTATGCCTATGAAATAAGTTGATAATCTATTTCAACCAATTACTGGCATTTGGGTTCTGTTTAATTTTTTGGCCTATGAATAAATTAGTTTGAAAGTTTATGTATATGCACTTTTTGTGTAGACACACATATTAAAGTTTATTTTACTTGTAATTATCTGGATGTATTTGGAGGGAGGAGTATGTGTACATGAGTGTAGAGCTTGCAAAATCGAGAGCAGGACATCAGATCCCCTGATGCTGAGGTGTCTGATGTTAGTGCTGGGAACTGAACATAGGTCCTCTGCAAGAAGAGGAAGTGCTTTCTGTGGTTAACTGCCTAGCAGCAGGTGAGCCAGCCTCACCATTCAGGTTTCAAAACTTTTATGATGATGTGTCTGCTCATCATTTATTGATGGCCGTCTATATCCCATGATTTATTTTTTCTTTTGTCTGGCTTGAGTAGGGAAGAGATAACAAAACAATTGTAATGCATGGTCAGGATTTACACTTTTAGTTTCCAACAGTTGATCAGTTTGTTTTCTGGCTTCACTGATTCACTAAGTCATCTTTAACACTGAAATTCAAAATACATAAATATTAATTTCCCAGCCTTCCCTGGATTTATCCCTGGTGTAATATGCCTATCAGTTCTGATGTTAATCTTATATGATCATTTACTGATAGTACAGTTAATAATAATACAATTTTATATTTTAAAAGCAATTTTCCATCTTTACTTTTTGAAACTAATATAGGCACATATCTCCTGTGAATCATACATCTGTACTTTCATTAATCTTTTCCCATGTTTCTTGTTTTCTTTCTTTTTACCATTTATTTATTAATTGTATCCCAAGAGACTATTTGTGTGTGTGTGTGTGTGTGTGTATCTGTGTCTGTGTGTTGTGTGTGTGTATACCATGTCATGTATATGCAGGTTTTTCTACCAAACTTGAGTCAGCAGACTTAGAGATGAGCATCCTCATCCTTTCCACCATTTCACTGGGTATTTTTATCATTTTTAAAGAATTGTATTGATTTGTTTTGTGTTTCTACAATTCTGAAGGATAATTATGCAAGAGCAAGATGTCATGAAACACCTCCCTGCCCAGTTTGTAGAGATATGTCCTTTCTTCAACTCATGTCAGCTTGCCAGCTGGAAGTCTAAATTAAAAATTTACCAAGTTATATTATAATAACTTCCTTTGAGAATAAATAAAATATCTGAGAAACAACATTCATCTGTTTTGTAAATCTTTTGTCTTCCATATTAGAATATTATTTTATATGTGTATACACACATGCATACACACACACACACACACACACACATATGTATATATAACTCTAATATTGGCTCCTAGCCATTAAATGTATTTTTTTATTTTAATGTCATTATGAATGATAATTTTCTTTTTTATCTCCTAACTGGCTTATTAGAAAGATGGAAAAATGTTAGCAGCCATATTTTTAAGTTATAATTAAGCATGTGTTTTTTTAAATTAATTTATTTTTTACTGACTACAATTTGTTTACTTTGTATCCCAGCTATAGCTCCCTCCCTCATCCCCTCCCAATCCTACCCTTCCTTTCTCATCTCCTCCCATGCCCCTCCCCAAGTCTACTGACAGGGGAGGTCTTCCTCCCCATCGATCTGACCCTAGCATATCAGGTCTCATCAGGACTGGCTGCATTGTCTTCCTGTGTATCCTGGTAAGGCTGCTCTCCCCTCATGGGGAGGTGATCAAAGAACCAGCCACTGAGTTCCTGTCAGAGGCAGTCCCTGTTCCCATTACGAGGGAACCCACTTGGAGACTGAGCTGCCATGGAACCTTATGAAAGAAGGGGGAGACAGAAAGACCTGGAAAGGAGCCCTACAAGGAAAGCAGAACCAAAAAATCTGGGCACAGGGGTCTTTTCTGAGAGTGATACTGCAACTAAGGACCATGCATGGAGATAACCTATATCCCCTGCACAGATGTAGACCATGCGTTTTTTATTCAGTAATTAAACTTGAGGCTTGAAATGAAGTTAGTTTAAATGATACCCAGTAGAACCTAACCTCACCTCACCTAAATGTTTAATCATGTTTTTTTTAATTTTATTCTTTGAGATAAACGTTTTTATTTGTGAAAGGTCAGAAAAGTCCTGAATCAAACCTTTTCTGAAACGTTTTCTTATAAAAAAAAATTATATGAATTGAGCCTGTATGAGAAAAAGTGAGAATTTTAAAACATCATTCTAGTAGCCAGCATTACAGTGATAACTCCACAGTACAGGGAATCTGATTAACACACTCAGACCAGTCATGTGTACGCAGTACCCAGTACTTTTAACAGAACTATGAGGAGCAGAAAAGATGGCTCAGGAGTGAAGAATGCACAGTGTTCTTGCAAAGGCCCTGGGTTCCATTCCCCAAACCCACATTAGTGGGCTCACAGTTGCTTGTAACTCTGCCTGAAGGGGAGGTAATGTCTTCTTCTGGCCTGTATAGGCACTAGAACACATACACACTACCCCTTTCACCAAACATACACAAATTTAAAAATAAAATCATCTTTCGTAGAATTAAGTGGACTAAAAATAAAGCACACAAGAAAATCACATTATTGAATTTCTAGTTATTATAGATAAAT